CCCTGGTGAGATGCAGGAGGAGCCCGGCCAGGAATCACCCCACAGAGCCCAGAACCTCCATGCTTTCCAGCCCCCCAAAGTCTGCGCAACATCACAGAAACACAAGATTAGATGGCCTCCAGCAAGCAAGGCTGTTGAGTGGCGACAGTTTGACGAGGATGTCTGCAAGATCTTGGAGACTACATCCAAGGGTGACGTTGACGGCCGGCTGCACAGAATGAGAAAGGGGAACCTCAAGCCCCCTACACTAAGAACCGTAGAGCTGCCCAGATACACCAGCTGCGGAATGAGCTTCGAGCACTAAAACGCCAACACAAGAGTGCAAGGGAAGACGAGAAAGAACCTCTCGTCGAATGAAGGAACATCTTGCGGAAGAAGCTCATGACTCTATGTAGAGCAGAAGGGCACAGGAGAAGGAGAAAGGAGAGAGCCAGGAAACGAACAGCTTTCCTGTCCAACCCCTTTGGCTTTGTTAAAAAGCTACTAGGGGACAAGCGCAGTGGTCAACTTTCATGTTCTCCAGAGGAGGTAGACCAATTCCTCAAGAACACCCTGAGTGACCCACTGAGAGACCAGCCGCTTGGCCACTAGAAGGCTCTCATCGAACCACCACCACCCAAGGTTGATTTTTACCTTAGAGAGCCCAGCCTAGAGGAGGTCAAGGAGGTGGTCAAAGGAGCAAGGGCAGCAGGACCCAGCTGTGTGCCATATATCGTCTATAAGAGATGTCCAGGACTCCTCCAGCGCCTCTGGAAGTGCTTGAAAGTGATCTGGTGAAGAGGTAGAGTTGCCAATCAGTGGAGGTGTGCGGAGAGAGTATGGATTCCTAAGGAGAACTCAAAGAACACCGAGCAGTTCCATACCATCTCACTGCTCAGCGTAGAGGGCAAGGTGTTCTTTAGCATCTTGTCTCAACAGCTGAGTTCGTCCTCCAGAACAATTACATGGACACATCAATACCGAAAGGCGGCATCCCTGAAGTACCCGGCTGCTTGGAACATACAGGTGTTTTCATCCAGCTCATCCATGAAGCCCGAGAGGCCAGAGGAGATCTGGCTGTCCTTTGGTTGGACCTGACCAATGCCTATGGGTCCATACCGCATGGCTTAGTTGAGGTTACGCTGCAGAAACACCATGTGCCCAGTAACATCTGCAACCTCATCCTGGACTACTACCACGACTTCAGGCTGAGATTCTCTTCAGGGTCTGAGCCATCCAGCTGGCACCGGCTAGAAAACGGAATCATAACAGGATGTACTATCTCTGTTACCCTTTTCGCTTTAGCCATGAATATGGTTGCCAAGTCTGCAGAGGTGGAATGCAGAGGCCCAAAGACGAAGTCTGGCTCGAGACAACCACCAATCAGGGCTTTCATGGATGATCTCACCGTCACAACATCCTCAGTGCCAGGAACCAGATGGATCCTTCAAGGCCTAGAAAAGATCATCACATGGACAAGGATGAGCTTCAAGCCCAGCAAGTCTAGATCCTTGGTGCTGAGAAAGTGAAGAGCCTGGGTAAGGTGTTAGACTGCAGCCTTAAGGACTCCAATTCCGTCAAGAAGACCATCAAAGACCTTGAAGAGTGGCTCACAAAGGCTGATAAATCAGATCTGCCTGGGAGATTCTGAGCCTGGATCTACCAACATGCCATCCTGCCTAGGATTCTATGGCCACTGCTGATATATGAGGCCCCAATAACAACAGTAGAGTTGATGGAGAGGAGGATAAGTAGTCACCTGCGCAGGTGGCTTGGTCTTCCCCGGAGCCTCAGCAGCGCGGCACTGTATGGAAGGAGCAACATCTTGCAACTCCCATTTAGAGGCCTAAAAGAGGAGTTCGTGGTGTTGTGGATTAGGGAAGAACTCCAATACAGGAACTCGAGGGACACCAAAGTGTTAGCAGCAGGATTTGAGGTCAGGACAGGCAGGAAGTGGAAAGCAGGCGAGGCACTCGAGGTTGCAGAGTCTCGGCTGAGGCAGAGGGAGCTTGTGGGAAACGTGGCCAGAGGCCGTGCGGGTCTGGGTTACTTACCCCAACATCAGATCCACAACGTTACAGGCAAAGAGAGGCGCCACCTTCTCCAGGAGGAGATTAGAGCAGGCATGGAGGAAGAGAAAGCTAGCAGGATGGTGGGTCTGAGGCAGCAAGGAGCATGGACAAAGTGGGAATCCGCAGAGCAGCGAAGGGTGACCTGGGATAACATCCTGCGAGCAGACTACTACAGAGTCCGTTTTCTGATTCAAGCTGTATTCGATGGCCTACCAAGCCCAGCGAATCTCCACATCTGGGGAAAGATTGAGACTCCAGCCTGTGCGTTGTGCTCTGGAAGAGGATCCCTCGAACATATCCTCAGCAGTTGCCCGAGAGCACTTGCAGATGGCCGCTATCACTGGCGGCATGATCAAGTGCTCAAAGCACTAGTAGAGGTGGTAGCCTCAGCCATAACCACCAACCGACAACGCTGCCCAAAGACCATCAACTTCATCAAGGCAGGAGAGAGAACCTCCACAGCCTAGGTCAGCGACTGGCCTCCTAGCCTCAGCAGCTGACTGGGAGCTGAGAGTGGATCTGGTTAAGCAGCTGCGCTTTCCAGAGCATATCGCCCCAACCACACTGCGTCCGGACATGGTCATCTTCTCCAACTCCACCAAGAAGGTGATCATGGTAGAACTCACTGTACCCTGGGAGGAGCGCATGGATGAAGCCCAAGAGCGGAAACGTGCAAAGTACCAGGAGTTGACAGAGCAGTGCAGGAGCTATGGATGGACAACCCACTGTGAGCCTACCGAGGTGGGATGTCAAGGATTTGTAGGCTGGTCATTATCCAGACTCCTCACCAAGCTTGGGATCATGGGTCAGACTAAGAAGAGGGCCATCAAATCAACCGTTGATGCCGCAGAGAGAGCTACTAGGTGGCTCTGGCTGAAGAGGGAAGCCAAGTGGCTAATTGCTGCTGGGATGCAGGCCGGGGACTGATCACCCCTGGTCGGGTCGCCTGGGCGAGGGTGTATGATGTTCGAACAGACCCGAAACACCCGATGAACCCAGGTTACATCACTGAAGATGCATCCCAGCGCATCCGCAGATGTATTCTAGAAGACGAAGTAGTACATCTCAGCTCTATAACCTCCATGTAGTTAACTTCCTCCCTCTAACCTGGTACCTTTAGACTACATGAGCTAGGCTAACAAAGAAACTCACACCTTCCCTCACCCACACACCAGGTGGTCTCAGTGGCCATTTTGAGTAGTTTCTTTGTTTACCTCCATCTTTTGTAGTCTTCTTTGTTCAGGCCATGTGGTCACAGCGACCATTTTGAATGTTGTGTGTCCCCACAGATACCCCACCCCCCCCCACCCCCCCCACACACTCACACACACCTGTATATAGATTAGATTATACATTGTGTTTTTACTCTGTTCCACTGTAAATAAATGTATTTTAATATAACTACTGGTGTGTTTAATATGGCACAAGTATAAGTATTGCCAGCCTCTACTCAGTAGAACTCCAATCCTACAACCTTTACGTACTGTTTATATGGTAATTTGGTTATAGTTATTAAATTAATTATTAAGTTCCAGGTTAATAGTAATAATTTGAGACTGAACCAATATTGGCTATTTCGCCTATGGTTTTTAGGCTGGTGCTCCCCAGGATTTCCAGCCAATCCATTTTAAAGTTATTTAATATTAATATTTTTAATATTTTCTTTATTTGTGATAGCCAATAAGTTGATAGACAACCAACGGTCCAACATATGGTGTCCCACTCGTGACGCAGAGCTCAGACACAACATAATATAAAAAATATGACTAGAGCCGCTTCACTATGGATCCAGGTTTCAGCAGGGCAGTGACCAAGGCCTTCATCCGGCTCTACGACTCTCGTCTGATTTATCACTCAGGGGGTTTGGTCAACTGGAGCTGTGCTCTGGAAACTGCCATCTCTGACACAGAGGTTGACTCTGGGCAGATGATGTGGTCTGTTCCTGGTTATGAAAACAAGTTTGAGTTTGGTCGGTTTGGGTCTTCAGTGGGTCAACAGGAGAGGAGGACTGACTGTAATGTAATGGATACAGACACATCCCCTGACTGGAGACAGTTGAGGTGGAGAGTTGAAGCCAGAAATCTTGCTGTAGTTATAGACTCAGACCTCAACTACAACAGCCACATAAAGACAGTTACAAAAACTATTTCACTCTACTATTATTGATTGATTATTGATATTACTATCACTAAATGGTCTCAGACCCAAATACATCTCTGATCTACTTGCACTTGGTGCTTGCATTTTCTAATTTCCTGTCAGCTACTTTTTCAGAGAGATTTATTATTACCATCTATACCAGCATTATCGGCTTTCAGGGACACGAAAAGTTTCAGAGTCCGACCGGCAAAAGACAACATAATGGCTCTGAGGACAGAGAAGCAGTGTGACCATAAAAGACATATGGAGAGTAAATATATCGTGGTTAATAGTTACTTAATAGCCGCCACAAATAAATCAATGTGTGTATGAGAAAGGATTCGTCGACGCAAAATATTGACGTTGATGTCCGCGATTATAGCGACTTATCGCGGCAGCCCTACATAGGACCACACATCAACACACACACACACACACAAGTATATGTAAATACATCATGTTGATTTACCTTAGAGTTGCTCTACCTGACTTAAAAGGCTAAGAGTTAATGAGTGTAATTGGCCAATCAGAATCAGCTTTGTCCATTTCTGCCCAGTAATTGAGAGTAGCACCTGCTGAGTAACTGGTTGATATGGGGACTATGGCCACCAGATTGAGGAAGGAAACACACACACACACAATCCCCACTGTCTCCCTAGATTCAGGTCTAGTTACGTGCTGAAACTTCGCTACAGAGGATGAATATATGCCTGCAATGCTATTGCATTGCAGGCACATCATGAGGGAAGTTGAATCCTTATTCACTGTATCAATGTATGGCTGTGTTTTAGTTATGTAGCAGGAACTTACCTATCAGCAGAGCCACACACAGGAGAATGGCCATCAAAGCTCCAGTGCTGAGGCCCACAGGCAGGAAGATGGCCTCGGCTGAACAGGTCAGCAGGGAGCCTCCCGCCTCACAGGAACACACTCGGATGGTGAGGGTGGCTGTGCTGCTCTGAGCAGGGTAACCACTGTCTTCAACTACAACAGGAAGGACATAGATGTCTTGCAGCCGCTGTTGGAAGCCTGACCGCCGAGTCACAATGCCAGCAGTGTTGTCTGGAAACCAAGAGGATGATGTAACACCAATGTCAGTATCCTTGATCCTAACTGTTCACTAACTGGCTGACTAGCTTAAGGTCAATGTATTCCCAATCTCTCACGCACTTTATTTCTTCCCAGAAGGCAACACACCCTCATTCCTTAGGCTGAGGCAGGTTATGTAGTCACTTGAAAGAAGTGTGGTTTAAAGGTTGAAAGTATTTGTTTAATTTGAGATTTACTCATAGTGAGAGGCATAATAGAAAGATAAGATTAAAAAAATAACCGCAATCACAAACAAATGTAACTGTTGTTATAGAGGGAGATTATAACATAATACATATAAACTGTTTAGTGTGTTTAGTGTGAAAGTGTTTAACACCACACTCTTGTTTCAGGAGGTGCAGGGAATCCTTTTGGCGATCATTTGTATTGATAAAACTCTCTGAAAGCTAAATGCTTTGATTTGGGAACATGCTGACATGCTGACATTACTTCTACAAAGATTGACAACAGCCAGATTAAACCACCTGATTGTTTAGATTGCTGCCCACTAGGGCTGGGACGATTATCCGACGTAATCGACGTTGTCAATTATAAAAATTATTCGACGTGGAATTTTAGTGTCGACGCGTCGTGTAAAACCACACAGGGTAAATGTTCATAGAACAAAACCGGAACTTTCTAATGGGACCGTTTATATCCATCAGTTTACCCGGATACAAGTGCAGCGCAAGGGCTGGGACAACGCGGTGATGTAATTGAGGTCATTGACTACGTGAATGATTTGTGTCTGTGAAAAAAAAAGAGAAAAAGATTTGCGTCTGTGTAATCTATTTGAACAACATGGCGGCATCTACCAGCAGTACGACGGAGCGTGTGGAGCAACACGCGGCAAAAAAGGCTCACACACTACTCGCAAATTACTGTTAGGTTAATAAAAAAAATAATCGTTAGATTAGTCGAATAATCGAAAAAATAATCGCTAGATTAATCGTTCAAAGAATAATCGTTTGGGACAGCCCTACTGCCCACATAACTGCTCTAAAAATCTAATACTAACACTAATAGCTTCACAAAAGACAATCCAAAATATGTAAACTCCATGATAAACCAGTCATGGATTTTTCCATGATCATGACCACAATTATTTTTACACAACGCACAGGAGCCTGTATAATGGATTCATATTGGAGCAAAAAGAGGATGTGCCAATACAATAATGATCATGTTTTAGAGTTTGCAAGGTATTTGTTACCAGTGTAGTGTTTAGAGGGAGTTTAAAAAGAATATATATGAGCTAGTTTTTTATGAATGCAAAATTAATTTAAATATTGCAAGTACTAAGTTTGGTTTGTCTTTTTAGTTGCATAACTCATCCCCAGATGAATCTGCTATGACCAATGACCCATTGGAAGATGGAGAAGATGGAGCAGCAAAAACACAGGCAACACTGCATGGCTTGCTGCATTTAAATAAGTCTTTTCAATATTTAAAAAAAAATATTTTTCAACAGTAAAAGTCAATTCAGTGTGGCTAATATCAATGATAATATTAAACTGTCATAAGTCTTCATGATGCTCCTCAAAAATACACCTTACATAGTTTGTTTGTTCATTCTTAGAAAAATGTATTATCCCTGAAAAGGAGTGAAGCCTGACTTATCATCATAATAGGAAATGGAATTTGCCTTAAATCACATTTACGTGCAAAAATGCATACCAGTGAACATATTAAGTATGTGAACAAATAAGTTATTTGTACTTAATGGAATCTGCAATCTTAATCTCTTTGAACTTTCTTCAATTTTAAGACAATAGCTCCTCTGACATGTGCCAGAACATCTTGTCAAAGATCTCCAAATCGTACAATGGATCTTTCAAGAAGGAGGTTCTTAAGACAAGGCACAGGACAGGTATGCTCCTGTATAACCACAGTATTCACTTTGATGTATATATGAAGCTCTTAATTATGTGGCTTTTCATTAACTAAACTTTGATAAATGTGGCTTTTAAATGCCATATGCCTCAACTAAAGAGAGATAATGTTCATGTATTAAAAGTTTAATGCATCGACACAGTGCATGACATTCAGTTTAGTAAAGGATTACCTATGTTACTAAATAGAATCTTTAAATTTTTGTCTTTTTTTTCCAAGGCCACTGCATATATGGAAACCTCCCTTGATGAATCCGATGACACAAACAGTGATTCTGACTATGCCCCAGACTCTAAAGATTCCTCTGAGCACAGTGAAGACACACCACTGTATCCAGTTGCCAAAAAGCTGCTGCCCTCTCTGCGATATCCCCTTTTATCTCCGGGAAAACAAGATATCAGTTCAGAAAGCTCAGTAAAAAGAAACACCACAGTCAGATCTAAGAATTCGGGCACTCCAAGGAAGAGAAAGATCTCATCCTCCAGTCCACTAAAGAGCAACTTGAACACTCCAAAGAAAAGCAAAATCCAACAAATGGGTGACTCAATTAAAGTATTGCCTCCATCAAATTCTGAAACTCGTCGAGTGTATAATAAGACAAACTACTGTATCTTTTGCCTCAAGCCCACATCAAAAATTGCACGACACCTGGAAGCTGTACATGGGAATGCAGAAGAGGTTGCTGTAGCATTTCAGTATCCAAAAAATTTAAAAGAGAGACGCAATCATTTGAATGTTCTTCAAAGGCGAGGAAACTTTGTCCACAATGCCAAAGTTGTGAGGGAAGGAGCTGGAGAACTGCAGGCCTGCTACAGACCACAAGAGTCAAGACGTACTATCAATTTTATTCATTGTTTTCACTGTCAAGGACTCTGCCAAGCAAACATTGTGAAAACACATGAAAGTCTGCCCAGCAAAAAAAGAACCTGATGATGAATCCACAATTGGGAAGCAGTGAGTTCGATCCAAATGTGCCCTTAAAACTGCTATTGTAGGTGAGATTACTGAGGGCTTGAAGAGTGTGATTTCCTGCATGACCTGTGATGATGTCACTGGGATGGTCCAAAATGACCAACTTCTCTTGCAGAGAACACAAACACCTGTTTGATCTGAACTGGTCAAAAAAGAACAGACATGACTACATAAAGCAAAGACTTCAAGAACTTGGGCAACTGTTGCTTGTGGCTCAGAAGAATACCCCTTTCGGAAGGCAGAGGAACCCATCTATCCTGCAGACTTCAACCATGTGATATCTGCAGTAAAAGAGTTGGCTGGGTACAATCCAGAGAGCAACACGTTTTGCAAACCAACCTTAGCCCTGAAAATTGGCAACAGTTTGGGTGCCATCTGTGAGCTTGTAGAGACTGAGAATTTGTCCACAGTTAACAGACTGGAGCCTTGTAGAATTTGCTCAAGAATTCAGGACCATTAAAAATTTCAGATGGAAGGGATCAATTACAAGAGGCGCAACAACCACTATGAGAGAGTCAAAGTGGAATGCACCAAAGATTTTACCTTTCACTGAAGACGTCAAAATGTTGGACTCTCACATGGAGAATATTAAAGTCGTTGCTGAAAGAATGCTGAAACTCTGTCCCTCGGCAAACAACTATGTAACACTTGCCAAACTGACACTTGCTCAGGTGATCATTTTCAACAGGAGAAGAGAAGGAGAGGTGTCAAGAATGGAGCTGGCCACTTTCAAAGCAAGAATAAGTCAGAACTCAATGAGGACGAGGTGCTTTTGGCAGTGGAGAAGAGGACCCTCTCAAAGTATAAAGGCCAAACCATTGACAACATTGAGATTGACCGTGAAGGTATGGATATGTGTGTGTATAATAGTATGTGTATTAGTATGATATATTTAGTTCAGATACTGGGGCAACCCATGGTTATTGTCTCATGAGAAATGTATCATCAATACTTGTTAACGGTAAGGTAGTGTTTATACTGTAAAATTGTATGAATGCAAATGTACAGTCTGTCAAGTTAGGTATTGTTAACATATTTTCTCCATAGAAGATGTTACATATGGTCATGTGATATACAGCATTCCTACACCAAATTATTTTGATTGAATGTGCAATTGAAACAGTCTATAAACAAGCTATGAAAGTATTAGACAAAAAAACGAAAACGTACCATCACTGTCAGATATTAAAAAAACATGAGCGCTTAAGCTGGGACAATATTGTTAAACACACTGACGCGATTTTGATTTATAAAATTTTCCACGGCAAAGCACCTCCTCCATTACAGGAATTTGTGAAAAAAAACTCAAACAGATCAACTAGAGCCGGTTCTAGAGGTGACTGTGTAGTTCCTTTTAGAAAAAGTACCTTTAGTCAAGCTGCTTTTTCTTTTCGTGCATCTCACACCTGGAATTCAATACCAAGCATGATACGTGAACTCCCGTCTCTGACTTCTTTCACCAAACATGTTAAAGCTTGGCTACTGGAAGATCAACATTGTAACCACATCTTAGCCTAAAACTTGTATAGTTGCTCAGTGTTAGCCAATTGTTGGGGTACCATCCGCAACTCCCAATGAGTGCATACCCAGTATTGTGCATTCAAAATAGCAATTATCTACTGTACAATTGGGCAATCTGCAACATAAGTATGCACTTAACACTTTAACACTATAGCACTTTGCACTTTAATCGGCTCTCTGATATTTATCTATTTAAGTTTTTAGCATCTAAATACTAGTGAAATACGTACAATACCCCGACCCTTGGTCTGCATGTTTCATGATCTACAATACTACTGTATCTTTTTTTGTCTTCCAATTGCCCTACTTGTTGTTACTGTTGTTTATTGATTTTATTATTTCACGATGTTAACATCAACCTGCCAAAGGGACTGCAGATGGAAATAAGCCGCTTGGCTATAATCTGTCATATTTACATGTATATGTTCATTAATATGCACCGTCCCTTGTTTTTAAATAAATAAACTCCAAACTCCAATAACTGCAATAATGTGGGCAATCCATTCAGAATGGACTTGTTGGTTTTCTGTCTTAAGGCTAAAATTGTTGAAGCAATGTCCTTTTTTTTCTTCTTTTACATTTTCTCT